CTCCGTGATCTCTCCTACCGAACGCGCGAGCTAACTATTAAGTGAAGCAAGTGGGAGTAAGGGAATGATCCAGACTACAACATGTAGTTATTACTGATTATAGGATACACTTGATGATTAGTTTACACACAAATATTACACTTACTAACTACATTTGGTTATTAATATATAGGTGAAGAAACTAGAAATATACTTAATTTTGGACGCTGGCATCTGTGACTATCGTACATGACAACCACAGATAACCGGGACCAGTGACATAATTCATGTACCAATGAGTTCACATAACGAGCAGACCTATCAAGAGCTTATAGGTTCACAGTCCTTGTATTCTTAATTTCATTACAGCGGTTTCCACGTATGAAGAAAGCAGCAACACACAGCAACTGATCAGGATCTTGTCGAGTCTCAAAGTGTAAAAAGGCTGTATGGCATGCATTATGACAGAAAATAAAGGTATTCTACTTGGGATCTTAAAGCCTATGTCAACCTTATCGGCATACGATATCCTGATATCCGATCGCGAGTCTTGTGCGACGACGCTTATCACAACTATAATCATTGAGACATTAGACAAAAAGCTATTACTTTTAATTTTTACTACAAGGACTACAGAAAATCTACATTTCAGCAACTACTCTCTGCATTTTTTAGCATCCATTCTCACATTCACACATATGTGTGGTTTAAGTTAAGTCCTGTTGTGCTGTGGGTTTTTGTGTTGTTGTTTGTTCGTTATTTTTTGTTTGTGAATGAATAATATATCTTATACCTTCCTTTATTTAATGACTTAGTTGAATAGAAAACAATCTATCAAGACGTGAATGTACTGTGTTTGGACAAGCTGATGATGTAAGTGAGTATAACCCAGTAGAGTTTTCAGTGTATGCCGTTTCTTAAGTCAACCGTCTGTTTAATTTTCTGAACCCATCCGATGCCGCCCTGTACTCGGGGAGTTGCCATTCAGGTGTGCATTGCGAGGGTGTCTAGGGAAAGTCGCAAACGCAAGTATTAATAACCATATGTAAACACTTAGCTGGAGTAAAAGGTGGTCTAACTCGTATTTGTTATTTGCATGTAAGCGTTTCAGTGCAAGCATATTGTCTATCCATTTTGATTCGCTGGCTCAAGTGGCATGACTATTCTTCTGGCAGTCGGGGCATCCCGTGGCTTCCGGCAATGGAGTCAGGCTGCAGCGTAGTGATCTCTTAGGTCTGTTTTGGTTGTCGATGCTCGCTCGCCGGTTTGTCGGCTTACGAAGAGAGCCTATGCAGTAATAACAGGTCATGGTGAGGGTGACAGGTAGGTCCGGTGCTTTCTTCGCAAAGGTGAATTAGATCTCGGGCTTCGCATTGGAGTTCGGGTACGGAAGGGTCAGACTGCGTAACTCAGAAGCTACAATTCCCTTTTTCAGGAAGAAGATTGGTTCGTAGTTATGTATTTACTCAACCATCACGTAATACTGATATTTTATTATTCTTTATCTTTTGCTCTGAGGGAAAGAAAACTTACCGTGAGCAGTAATGTTGCTATTGTGTTATCTGGTATCGGTATAATAACTAATATTGGGTTATTTTTACGTTAGGGTCACTTTGCGCTGGGTAAACTGCCACATAGATTTGCTATTAATTCTTGAGGAATGATGCAGAAGACGAATCAGTTGTATACGGTGGAAGTCGTCCTCGCATAGGACGGAGTATGTGCGCATAATGTTTGGCTGCTTTGCGAGCGTAATATCTTCTAGTTGTCGATTCGGGTGTTGTTTATCTACTTACCTGAGATTATATATAAGTAAAAATTATTCATACGTTTGTAGATTCATCACAGCGCTCAAAGATTCATCTTCACAATTTACACAACACTACTATACAGATCTCTGCGTAACTATCATTGAAAGTATTAAAGAAATCACATCACCTAACAGCCAATGCAGAGGGGGATGATAGCAAGAGTTTACGGGGTGGCACAGCTACTCACATCAAAGGGAGTTAATGTCAGGAATGTGAGCAGAGGACCGCACGACTCGACTTCGACCATTGTTGAGTGGACTAGACTTGGACGATTGAACACACCATGGATTATACATTAGCAGGCTATACCGGTGAATTTTTTGTTTATTTAATTCATATTTGGTAAATAGTTATGACCTTCTCCTTATTATATTCTATATGGTTTATAATATTCTATCGAACTTCTCTTCTATTCATTAATCTCTATATCATCTTTGAATTTGCCCTCATTGCTCTCTTCCTTCTTCTACTCTTGCTATTACTTCATCATTCTCTCTCCAATTCTTCTTTTATTAATCACCCAGTATTCTTATGCTATTCGTTTGATATATGCCGGTTGAAAGATGGTAGATAATCGTTGCAGTTTAGTGTAGAAAGGCTAGATGAGAGTGTTGGGCTCATTAAAAGTCTGGGAAGTGCGTTCAGATCAAGTAAGCTCGGAGGGTGACTGTACATTGCTTCATCTTCGACAGGGAGATGGTCCAATTGTCCGCGGTAGTGATTACAATAGATAATTCTATTATCTACTTTTCTATCAACATAACAGCGGAGGGAATATTACCGGTTCCAACTTACGTCGTTAGTAATCGCTAGATGTCAGAAAGATGCGCGTGCGTTGCATGGAGGTGAATTTTGATTAACGATTTAGGTACTTCTAATATTATATAGTTACTTTAGTTTATAGGCATTTAATAGTGACATTATTATCATTATAACATATTTTGTGTGTATGACTATTATAAAGTTTATATATATGTAAGCTATTACTATTAATTATATAGTGATCATAGTTAGTCTACTATCATTATATTATATATCCAATCAGTGTGGTAAGAATAATGTTTATGATATATAGTTAGGATATACTACCTTGTACTATATGCACCAATGGACGTCATTAATAGAATTAAGTATACTGGATTATTGATAAGTGTTATGTAGGAATAATCTAGAGACATACTGTTTCTAACACTATTAATTTATTGTTATTAATTGTTTTGTGGTAATAAACCATAATACTCTTATTCGGGTACATCGCGTAGATAGTATAGTGAAAATAATAGGGAAAAGGAATAAGATGTGGGATTGTGATTTGGCCCATGCAATGGTATATATACTAATTGACCATTCATTTATAATCGAGGCTTTGCGAGGGTTCAGCTCAGGTTGACGTATTCTCCGGGATTTTGAAGTATCGTGGTGATATGACATTGTCTATACTATATAGAGACAGAGTAGGAGTATCATGATAGCTCAATTATGTCATTTGTGATATCGCCTAGTTTAATCTACAGTCTGATGGTTAAACTGGTTTTGATGGTGTGATAATATTAGATGATGTGTTGTTATGTTTTTTATTTAAAAGAACTTAAAGTCCGTCTATGGTACATTGTGGCAATCTAATGCAGAACTGAAAAGTCAGCAATATAGTGCTCTGGTTATCTAATTACAAGTGTATTTACGAGGTTAAAGTATAAAGAAAAAGATAATTATTCTTTACTAGTTCGCAATTTAAACATCAATGGTGGAAGCTGCCTACGTGTTAAGGATGGGTGGCAATGATATTTAAGTCATTATTAGTGTTGTATGTTTTATACCAGATTATATGTATTCTGAAACGGTTTGAGAACGATTAGGCTCCTGGCTCAACTCGCCGCTCAGAGCTTCCCCAGTCGCTCGTATCCAGGTTAGAACATGGTGTCTAAAGACAGCTGGCATGTGGGTGGGGATCAGATCTCGTACATAAGGATTTGTTGTATTGCGCGCAGATTGCTTTTGGTGCCATCCAGGATTTCCTTGTAAGATTTTTGAGCAAGATTAACCTGTCCTGTCTTGGTGCTAGGATTTGTAACCAGTATATGTTTTCTTACTTACAAACAACAGAGCACGGTAGCAAATTTATTGATAAACTGTGGCCATTTGAACAGGCCTGGTTATGTGATCACATCGATGTATATTAAATTATTTTATTACGAATGTAAGTTGACTACTATATAATATTTAACATTTCATTACAAGCATTAACTAGTGATATGATTAAGTACATTATTATCCAAAAAAAAAGGAGGGGAGGAATATATATTATATGTATATAATATTACATACAATACACACACATACACATATATATATAAATATATAATATATATATAGTATATATATAAAGTATAATATATTATTATTATATATATATATATATAGTATATATATCATATACAATATATATACAGCAATAACATCTATACTATACATTAATATACATATGCAATAATACATATTATAATAATATATCTATTCTATCTATCTATGATAAACTATTATAGTATATAGATAAGATAGATAGATAGGATATAGTATAGATATACATATATATAATGATAATATATCAATATATATATAATAAATATATATATATATATTATTAATATATATACTATATATGTAGTATGTGTGTGTGTGTATTTACTGCAGTATATATGTATGTATGTGCGTATATATATATGTATATATATATATATATATATATATATATATATATATATATATATATATATATATATATAAATACACACACATACATGTAATATGTATATTCATATGTGTGTATATATATATATATATGTATTGTGTGTGTGCCTTAATACATGTATATGTATGTGTATATATATATATATATATATATATATATAATATATATATATATATATATATATATAATATATGTATATGTATGTGTGTGTGTGTGTATGTGTGCCTTTACTACAGTACCACTTAGCTAGTTAGTTCTGCAGCTTGGGCCATGAGGTATTTACAAACATTTTTGAAGTGTCTTTTAGTCACAGTGGAGTTACCATATGCTGTCAAAATGAAAGGATGGAAATACATTTTATGTGATGACTAGCATTTTCAATCTCTAAATCATATATATTTATGTGAATGTAGGATACCACCTTAGTACAACCATGCCATCAGAATTTTTAATGAAACAGATTTCTGTATATAATAAACACTTTATTTTCTTTGTTACACTTGGTGGGATCAAATACCTTAGAAATCTATATCACAAGTGAGAAATATACAAAATGTAATACTATTAGTCATGGTATAATATATATCATGACTTTATTATTACTTCTATATTCAATTCTGGCTCTGGAAGATTGTGATTCTAATATTCTACTTTCACTATTGTAAATGCTGTGTCCATATAAAGAAAATGACATTGAAATTGAATGAGAGGCAAATCATGAAATGCAGAAGTCACCATATCCTTCGTTGCATTAAAGTTCTGTAACCAAACACAAGTCATTTTCTCAACAGTACTGTGCATGAAGGAGGCCCAATGTGTATCCAAAACGAAATATTTTATTTATAACTAACCTACCATTACCTTCATATGTGTATCTTCTTTTTTCTTAATATTTTGAGCAACAATGAATAAATGACAATCCTAGAGAAAGTTTTTCGTCTATATCTATAAGGCAAAGTTCACTGAGGAAAATAAAAATAGAATAATGTGTATGTCGAATAAATAAAATAAGAGAATAGTTACCTGATCAAAGAGGTCACATATCAATGCTTTTTATTCACTTGTGTTCTGAGAAATTGGTAATAAAAATATGAATGTGATTTTAGATCGCATTATAACAAACTTACACAAAGTATATTTTCTACTTTATCCAATATAATCACAATTTTATTTCAAAATAATTTGAAGATATTATTTACACTGTCACACATTATATTTATTGCAGGTCATTGTATGGCTGTGACCATTGATGATTCTTCTGTTCAGTAATATAAATTAGTTTTTTAATAATTCACATACAAATTTACATATAATCAGGTGAAACATTTGATGTAGTACGAATTTTCACCCGTGATCAGTGGTGTAAATTTAAAATAACAGCAAATTTGTTGCAAAATCATTCTTCTTACTAACTGGCAGAGTCAATTGCAGACTCTGCATGTGAACTAAATGCATAACATCTGACTAACCCTTGCCACTAAGCAAGCTGCCAGGTAACCTCTAATTTCATAGATGGTTCTATGAAATCTCTTGATCATAAAAACTTCATTAATATGGGTAATTATTAATATACCTGTTTTGACTCACCATTTAGTTCATAATTTGAATAATAAATATAACCTCATAAATCAAATATTTCAAGGTTGATACACAAGAACCAAAATCTACTGACAATATAGAACATTCTTTGTATCACTACAAAAACATTTTCTGCATAAAATCAGCTAGCAAAACCTAATGGTGTATAAATTCAGGTATACAAAACAGACTAGAAAAGGAGACATGTAAGAGTCATAAAATGAAAACTCCACTCAAAAGTGCCTTACTGTAAATTTCCTTACTTTTACACATCTCTAAAGTCTTTTGCAAATTTTAAAGAGGAACTTTGATTTCATTTTCCAGAAGGAGGTTCTTTAAGTACTCTGCTTCTTGTTTGAGATGCTGCGTAGTGCCTCTTATGTGGTGTAATCGTTCCTCCATCGTGCAAACAAGAGGACCTGACACAAGGCTACTAAGGCCACAAACACTGCGAACCATCACTGAAAGATAAACAATAATAGTTGAATATCAACCAGGAAAACTGAGAGGATATAGGTTCCAAGAATAATTAACAGCAGTCATTCAACTTATGATAAAAAAACAATAATATAGTATTGCAATTAAATCTAAAATTAATACAAAATAAAGAAGAAAAGTTGAACTAAAGGTTTGAGAACTTATAACAATAAATACAGATCTTACCAGCTGCATTGTGTAAGTGAGCAAGTGGGTATTGGGGAGACCGCTGTCTTGACAACTCTAGCACTTCACTTTGTTCATCAAAAAGTGTTGCACACAAGTTCTCCAGGGCCTGAGGAGTTATTAAACTAATTTGAAATTGATCATATGAATACAAATTTGACATTTATTTCATATCTTGAATAATTCAATAGAGTCTTAATATCTATATGCAGTTTTTTCCAAGTTCTAAGTCAAAAAGCTTAAACTGTATAACACTGATAAGAGGAAGCTATCTTTTAGCAAACAACACACTACATAAGTGCAACTATAAGTAATAAACATATTAAATAAGACTGTTTTTGAAAACTGACCTGTTGGTTGTTAGTGGCTAAATTTGGGGTTGGCTGAATCTCCAAGGGGACCGGTAATCGCACGTACTGAGGAGCCTCTCCCTCTGGACTCTGGTTGGTTGCTTGGAAGCAGGTTACCTGATGGCTTCCTACCTGTAATAATTTAATTTCAGTGTAATGATATTTTTTCCTCTCCTTTACTAAATAAATGGCAAGTGTTACAAAAAATACATGTACATATTATTAGTTCCAAATACAGGAAGATGATAGAAATGGACATTTTTGTAGATTCTTCTTTTTTTTTCATGATAACCTTCCACAAATATATACATATCAAGCACACAAACATATTTTACATAGGAAATCATTGAAAAAGAACAGTTATATAAGGGAAAACATACCTTGGTTTTCTTGTCCTCATTGTAAACTGAGAAAATAAGGCCAATGAATCTGCTGTCCATTTGTTGGTATCCTGCCTGGGTTTGCAAATCTGAAAGTGAATATGTTTACAAGTTAGGCAAAGTAAGGGGTTATTAAGATTCAATTCTCTAAATAGCTGATCACACTCCTGATTGTAGCTTGGAATAGAGTGCATGTTATTTTCCAAATACTATTTCCTTCACTACACAACTTTTGTATTAAGTTTATGTCTCCCTTCAGATGTTTAAATGTGGAGAGCTAATGATTCTTGCTTCAAAATTGGAACTTGTTCTAGCTTCTCAAAGTTCAGATTACACAGTTCATCTTTAGAGAACAAGAACATGACTGTCATCATTGTGTCACAACTTCAAGGTTCTCTTTTGTTTGCCATTGTAATATTCTTTGAGTCTGATAAATCTGGTATTTTTGGAACGCAAAATAAATGGGGTCAATTTCCGGATGAAAACATAACATTCCCAAGAAAAAAAGTTATTGAAATACCCTAGTGGACATGTATGCATGTGTATGAGTGAGTGATTTAGTATATGTGTGAATGAGAGTGCATACATGGAAGTGCAAAGGATAGAATCTTTACTAAATCAAAAAATAACTTTGCATATATCTACACAGAAAGAAGGAATACCATTAATAGCTTCAAAGAACCACTTACCTATGTCAGAGGGCCAAACTGTGATGTGTGGATGAGAGTGATACCAGCCCACAATGTGGAGTTCCTGTCCGCTGGAAGCTGACATTTGCTCGGCTTTTTGCTGCGCCTGAAATCAATTGTGACTCATAATGTGCTGAATTTAAAAGACTCCGATCTATGGTCTTTATAGTATTTCTTATTTAAAACTATTATTTCTCTAGATTTTATTTCAAGCTTAAAAGCCATTTATGATCCTTTTGTTTTTGTTTTTTTTAATTTCATTCCCTTACATAATTGAAATAACATGACGGAATCATAAAAAATCAAAAAATAAAATATAAGATGTTCTTACTTCATAATGATTAACTAGGTCTGGCAATAAAGCTTTTGTCTTTACTTACTAGTTTCTAGATTTCTCTTGCCTCATTTTTGCATAAAATCTACATACTATATTACTAATGTAGTTTCCTCCTGCAATAGTCACTTCAGAAATGACAACAAGGAAACAAGAGTTGGAGAATTCACAACTCACCTCAATCAGCATTTCGGGCGATATTTCCACACGGTCTTTTCTTTTATCTGATCTTCTCAGTGTAACAGCTGAATAAATATCACAGGTCACTTCATTGCCCTAGAAGATTCAAGATTAGCCAAACTAGTGAAAAACTAATAAAATTGCAAAAGTTCACATTAAACTGTAAGAAAAACATGAAAAAGAATAAATTTCTGATACAAAAATGTCTGCATTACTACTATTTTAAGACTATCATAAGATAAAATTAAATAATAGGAATAAGTGAATAAGAAAATAAATGTCAAAACTTGATACCTCGCACTAAAATCTTTTTAAATTTTCATATTTTAACTACTAGTACTGTAATTGAATGACCCAACTGATAATGCTGATAATGTTCATCTTGAAATGTCAAATAAGTAATGAAGTGTTAATTTTCTTGCTTTCATTTTACCTGACTTTCCTTGTAATTTCTCAAATATACTGACTGTGCTATTTCATTCATATACAGTGACATTGTTCTCTACAAGGGCTATGTGTAAAGCGCAGCCAAGTTACAATCTAATGAATATTCTGAGTTTTATAATAATAAATAATAAATGTTATGTATGTCATAATCCCTTATGCAGTTCTTATTTAGTCTTGTACTTTGAAATAGTAAAAGAATAAAATTTTGTATCACTGAGATTCTAACACAGTGGCCCATGTCAACTGTTAGGACCTGTTCCAGAAGGATTAATTAACCTGATATACATAATACCAACGCTGAACGATTTCAATACCTCACTGAACTGTCCTACAAGCAGTCCCATCACTTCTTCCTTCTCTGTTGTGAGGGCATGATGAAGACACACAAGGTAAGCATCGGCAGCCAATCTTACACTCGACACCCACATGGCTGATAGATCTAGTCTGTAAGGAAAATGCAAGTATGAAAAATGTGTCAGACTGAGAACTGAGCATAGATGAGGACTAAGCGGTACTTTTTTTGGTAGATTTTGAATGATCAAGAAAGAGTTCACTACTGGTTCAATGATTGTGGACGAGAGTATGAAGAAACAGAAAAGAAAAGGAGGAAGAGAGGTGAGATAATGAAGGAGGTACAAGACTAAGAACAAACTAAAGTAAAGGAAAAAATAAAGTAGCAGCAGCTGTAGTAGAAGAAAGAAAGAAAGAAGAAAAATGACAGTAAAGAAGAGGAAGGAGATCAGAAGAATGACAAAGAGAAGGAGTATGAAATAGAAAAGAAGTAATAAAAAAGATTAGAAAGATCATAATAAAAATAAAAATAATAGCAAGAAAAAAATAATAAAAAGAAAAAAAATAATAAATAAACAAAGATGAAGAAACACAATAAAACATGAGACCTGAGAAATATAATCAAGGAAAAATACAAATGGAAAAAAATATGAAAAAAAGTCACAAAAAGAAATAGGTAGATAAAGTAGAACAGAGAACATTAGAACAAATCAAACAAAAACAATAATATTAAAAATATATATATTACCAGAGTACATAAATTTAGCCCAACAATCAAAACAACTATAACTTACATAGGAGTATCAAAACAAGTAACATATATGATACTGACTAAAATATATTCCTTAGTAGTGATGTTTAGCCAAGCCTTTCAAATAACACCAGGTAGGATTACATTATGTTTAAGTTAAGATTAGTTAGGTTGGTTGGTTATGTTTCGAACTGGGTCAGGTCAGGTCATCATGTCAGATTAGAAAAATTTATAAAGAATTTACTAAAATCAAATATCTATTAAATTAGTAATCATACTTTCCCTTTTTACTTTAAATTCTGTACGAGAAAATAAAAAAAATTGAGCTCTTGTTATGAATAACTGTATGATAACAAGTACTAAAATACCACTATTAATCTGGTCGACGTATCCCACTAATGGGTAGAACAAAACCAGAAGTAATCTTACAAATACTCTTAAACCTTATAAGCAAACCTAAACTTTAGCCACACATAAAATAATTTGCATGTCTAACCCATCCCAAACCCCAGCTCGTAAAGAAATACAAGCTTGTTCTGTGGATTTAGACCAACTTGTCTGACAGAAAGAAATCCCAGTTTACTGTAGACCTTGGCTAACTTGGCCTCATTCTATCCCTCCAAAAAAATAATGGTATATTACGTACATACATGGCAAAATTTTGTGTAAATATCTGATAGCAGTAATTATCCAGAATATTGCATTTGTCTTCCAAATAGCAGTAATTATCCAGAATAGGGCCGTATGTGGATTACAGGAAGACAAATGCAATTGTTATAAAATGTGTACAAATCAATATAATCAGTGCATGAGCAAACTTCTTAGATTCCTGACCATCACTGAACAGGGAAGGTCGGTATTGCCAAAATACGTGGTGTAGACTTGGCCTTTGCCAAAGTGCAGAAGCCACAACATTATTTGATGTGGTTGTACTCCGAATAATTCAATGGTCACTTATCAAAGAGGTTTGTTTGGACATGGTTAGTTTATGTGATAAATTACAAAATGTTCTTAGGAATCTACAACAATTTCTATTTTTGTGTGTGTGTGAAAAATATGTTATTCTTTCTCTGAGTAAGTGAAACAAGGCTTTATACAGCCTGATATATTCTTAATCATACAGACAGCAAAAGTTACTACTGCCTTATTATCCTTTCCGTAAATAATCAACTGATTTTGCAAGCACAGAAAGCTTTAATAAATCATATTTCTGTGACCTCAATATCTGACCGTGTGCGGCTTTCACCTACGCGTAGAAAATCTGCAGTAAATGTAAATACCTTAGTCAACAAAAGATTATCAAAAGAGTCTCACAATCAGTACCTTTCACTGTTCAATATGGTATTCTGAAGTTGAATAGTTTGTGAAATTCGTCCTTCATAGGAGGTATTCAGGGATAGTGTATGTAGATAAACAATGATTTAGTTGGTTTTCACATTTGTCGATAAAAACGTAGCAAATAAAACAAAAAGATAATTCTTATGTTAGAACCAATGTAAGCGAGTATAAAAGAAATGTATCCATTTTTTTTATATGAGTGACCCTTCTTAAATCTACAAGATTTCTATAGGGAGCGTGTATATAGATAACCAATTTTTGTCTAATTTTGATAATATTCATCAGTGTGTCGCATAGATGTTAAAAAATATAAAAATATTTACATAGTATTACATACGTGCACACATTGTCTTCCACAGATAAATGTTATTTTGCATAAGTAGTCCCTTCAATCACTATGTCCACAACCACAAGATGTTCACTTCTGCTGTGAGAAGATTATCGTCGCTCAGCGTAAAAGAACCATGGAGGGTCAGATTACCAGAAAAATGGAAAGGAGGCTATATAGAGAAGTGGGGTATGTAATGAAGAGACTAAATAACGTATATGTTCATCATATATGCTCCTTTAGCTGGCTGTACTTACAGAAATGTGAACACTCCTTGCATCGGTACCCGGGAAGACTCGTCATTATAGTCTAAAATCTATTAAAGAACAAGAAGTCTCGTTGTTATTTATAAAAATTTGGGTTTGCTTGCCTATAAGACATGAGACTACCTCGCAGGATCGCAAATCCTTATTGTAGGATTAGGTGGCAAGGGTAATTTTCAAGAAAACGATTGTGTGAATGTCCGAAAAGAAAGTTTTTTTGTTTGTTTTTTTAGTACACGATGTGTAATTAATGATTTTCAACATAAAAGGGAAATGGCCAAGAGAAGAACTGCCAGCAATTTGATTGTTATGTCCATTACATTTACAGTTTACCTTGTACTACACAGTTTTGGAAAATTAAGACTATACAGGATGCAGTTTTATGTATTAAGGCTGAGGTTATGTGTACGGCAGTTGTATCCATTTCCAGGTAATAAGTATGAATCTAACATAACTTGATGAAGAGTAGTATCATCATCTTTTTCCTCAAGATGTCGCTATCTTGTCTGTTTCACCACGTATGCGCAGGACACCAATCAGGCTTTTCTGCTGTACCAGCCAGTGGTCACTTCCATATATCATTGAATAGTTCAGTTACTCATGTTTACAAAATTTTGATGGTGGATTATTGGCCGATGCAAAAGTGTGGAGACCAAGGCATTGCTGGATGCGGTCACTGGATAATTGTTTGTAGTGTCATGCCATATGAATTAGGTAATTTTTGCCTTACTCATGTATGAAAGATGCAGCAGGTTCCAATTATACCAGATATCCTTTACATGTTCTGACAAGATAGAGCTACAACACCCATTAAATTGTATAAGTTTACTTGTTATTTTACAGTAGAATGAGATATCTACAGCAGTTATATATCACACTTTGCTGATATATATATTTTTTCCTTTTTTTTTTTTTTTTTGTATTGGTATTTGAAGGTTGGTATCATGTATTTCAATTTCAGTAGAATGATATTGTCAATAGATTGTGCTATTAAGATGAGGGTCATGAGTGTAAAAAATTTATTTTTTTAGGGTAGATAAAAATAGGTGCACTTGTTGAGCACTGATGAGATGCTGCATGACAGTTTCATTTTTATTTGTACAAGTCAGATGCAAGTATTTGTATCTGGCACAATCTTTGCATTACCATTTTGGGTTCATGTTGGTAGGTCTGCAAATATGATGATGTTGAATATTTGTTTGGCCTCTGACATAAGAGAATTCTCTGTTTACTTCGGGCAAGTTAGTTTGGTAATAGCTTAGTCACCAGGAGCCAAATTACTTATGTATATATAAATATGTATGCATGTGTGCCCATATGTATATCTGTATGTATGTAATTATATTTGTATAGTTTGATAAATCTGGGATGCAAATGTAGTTCATATGGCTCTTCATGGTACCATGGGCAATAATAAGCTGTCATAATAAGGTCCTCTTGTGCACTACATTTTCTTTTTCAAGAATTATGTATGATTTAAGTAGTAAGAAACAATTTAAGTGTTCTCCTTTCTCTTTCCCAAGGTAACTACTGGGTGGGTGTAGCTCAGGATTATAAAGAAGTAGCCGTTGATGTTGTCAAAGACACCTACAAGTATCCAGTAAAGGCAGCATTTTATTATTCCTGTAAGTATTTCTTTGAAATACAGGTTTGTGAATAATGCAAGCAGATTGTGAAGTGTCTTTCTATATTTAGATATGAGCTATATTCTGCTTATCTTTTTCATTGTAATGGATATTTTTTGGTAACCATGTATTTTACTGGATTCATCTTGTTTTCTAACTTACTGTTTATCCTGCAGTAATTGGAGGAACTCTCTATGCATTCAACACAAACCCTGACGAGAGGGATTTCCAAAGCACCCTTCAGACCTACATGAATGAGTCGGCAATGCTTAGTGAAAGCATCAGAAATCCAGAGGTTGATGCTCATTTCCAGTATTTAGTGGACTGCTATAACCATGGACTAGTTAGACGGTGGGTTAAAAGATATTGTGTAAACTAGATTTCTTATGAAATACTTCTTTTTTCTTCTTTCTTAATGATTGCTAGTTATGTTCCGATTTTTTTTTTTTCTTCTTCTTCTTCTTCTCCATACTCTTAGCACAGAAAGTAAATTCTAAATTGATATTTTCTCTGAACTTGGACATATCATCAGGATTTGATGTCACTGATCAAGCAAAACATGGAAGAAATATATATGAAAGCATATAGGTGTGCATAACATAACACAATAATCCAGACTTACCCGCATTTTTCCTGCACCATCTTTTCAGGTTGAGCATTGGCCTCTTCTCTTTTCTGTGGGTAGATAATTATTCCAAGGTTTGTGGAGTGTTTAAATCACGTTGTGACTACCTCAAACCACGTTACTTAACATTTCACGAACGCATCATGGACATTGGATTTTTGGGTCAATGGTGGGTTATTGACAAGAAAATGGAGGAGTTTGATATTAATCCAAATGAATGGATATCAAAAAGTGATGAAAAAATAACACAATAAAGTCATTTGCTTTTGTAATGTTCAAAAAACTGTGCACATGTAAATTGTAAAACGAAATATATATATTGAAACATGTTATGTAAATGTATGTAATGTACATAAATTGTTTTATAAAGTTATTGGTATTTTTATATCCTTTTATTTTTAATTGTTAAGTGATTAAATACTAATAAACATGATTTTTGGTTAAAGAAAAAATATCCTAAACCTTTAGAGTGATTCCAGGATTTCGGGATGAACACAGAATGGCAAGTCTTATGAAAATTTGTACAACTTATATATTCTTTGGTAAGGCTAAGAAAAAAAAAAATCTTGCAATATAATTAATATACTACAAAAGTATATGTATTCAATAATATAAATATTTAATTTACCTCTCTAAACCAAATGGAGAGTTAAAGTGAAGCTGGCTCTCAGGCATGCGTTGACAAACAGTGTTGACATTACCCCTTTATTTTTCTCTGTTATAAAATTATATTTATCCTGTAGCGTAACTTTCCACAAAATGCCCTCCACAGGTCTTGCAAATCACACTGAAAATTACTTTACCCATTTTTCTATTTTGTATTAAATTCTATATAGGAGGCTAGTTGACAGCTCTTTAAATGTAACCTAAGATCGAACTTCAGGATGACAGTCATCTAAAATCCAGAGAATAATATACATATCCAGAGAATAATAAACATATACATGCTATATCAATATTATTTTCATAATTATATTATAATTATATTCATGTTACTTTTATTGTTATTTTTTGTCATATCACATGTGTAAGACATAGGGTAGGTCTTGGTGACTTGCTTTGTTCCTGTAACCTTTAATTGACCCACACAAATAACTTTAAAGTAAGGCAACTCTATATATCGAATTTACTTGCCCATTTGCCCTGTTACTCGCACACAATTTATTTTGCTCTTTAAATATGGGCCTAAATCATCAGACCTTTGTTCAGAGAAAAGGTCTGCTGGTCTCTCAGGTAGATTGAAATGAAAACTGGAATTCAAGTTGCACAATATTTATTTATGCAGTAAATCATTAGGAGACATACTATCAATTTTTTTTTATATTCTTTGTAAACTAATTTACTTATTCATTAAAACATGAGAGAGAATATTACAAATTAATTAAGGTGACATGCTCTTATCATGATCAACTGTAGGAGAATAAACACAGGTGACATTACAGCAGAATATTCGAACTCAGTGGGTTTCACCAACTTTTTACACAAGAGAAATTTAAAAATAAAACCTAATGTAAGTACAGAAAAACTCCAAAGTGCTCGTAATGCGGCTGGTTTGAGCACACCATTCAGGTACATTCTAATGAGGACAATGACACAAAAGTACGTATTGAGAGCATCAGCGATGAACATGGGGGAGAGGACAACCCACCAACTCATTCGCGGCATCACCTCTTCTACTCGCAGGACCACCAAGACAAGTGTGATCAACACGGCTGTGAGCCATATGAACATCTGGAACAAGAATTTGGAAAATAAATACCTCCAATGCATTCTGTTCAAAGCTCTAAACTCAAATACATATTGGAGCAGAAGACTTTTTTTTAGACTGAGTATGAATCCACTTTCTCATTTTACAGCTACCATTCCTGTATGTAGCAACATCAAATATAAAAGGCAATAGTAATATTTCTTCTAAGCATGTAAAACACAATGACAATAAGCCATTATTCAAAATTTTCACAAATACTGTATAGCACATAAAAAAACTCACCTCCAGAACTGTGACACCAAGCCACATGGTTAGTTC